TGCAAGACACCCAAAAGTATTGAAAATTTTTTTTTTTAACACATGAAATATTAATTTTAATACACACAAACTGAAGAAGACATGCACAATTACATGACACTTACCTTTATTGAAGATCTGGTGATGATTGATGGGATGGGAAGAGGGGAGTGTGTTGATGGTCTTAGTGTTTAGAAGGGGAATCCCCTTCCATTAGGACTTGAGGTGGCAAGTCCTTTTTCGGGGTTACTTCCCTTCTTTTAATGCCACTAGGACCAGCTTGAGAATCACTGGACCTCTGTCGCACAACATATCTGCCCATAGAGGCCTGTACCTCCCGTTCCTTTATGACATTCCTAACGTGTTTCACAACATTGTCAGTGTCACCATTAAACACTTGTTCAGGTTTCAGTCCTTCACTGTCTATGTACTCCTTGAATTCCTGCACATATTTTTCAGCTGCTTTTTGGTCCAAACTGGCAGCCTCACCATGCCTTATCACACTATGTATGCCACTACGATTCTTAAATCTCTCAAACCAACCTTTGCTGGCCTTAAATTCACTCACATCACCACTAGTTTCTGACACTTTTCTAATTAAATCGTCATGCAACTTCCTAGCCTTTTCACATATGATTGCTTGAGATATGCTATCTCCTGCTATCTGTTTTTCGTTTATCCATACCAATAACAGTCTCTCAACATCTTCTATCACTTGCGATCTCAGTTTCGAAAACATAGTTGCACCTTTGGCAAGAACAGCTTCCTTGATTGCCGTTTTCTTGGCCACAATAGTAGCGATGGTTGATTGGGGTTTTGTGTACAGCTTGGCCAGCTCGGAGACATGCACTCCACTTTCATACTTAGCAATGATCTCTTTCTTCATATCCATAGTAATTCTCACCCTTTTTGCTGTAGGGTTGGCACTAGAAGCTTTCTTGGGGCCTATGGTGACTTATTTTGCAGGTGCAATCACTAAAAAGGCTGTGATAATATGAAATGTTCTGATTGTATGCTTGGAAGCGACTGCAGTGGCTGGCTGGCTTGTAAACACTGGCCAGAAGTGGACGCGTCTCAGATGGAAGGAATAGTGTTGGTCGAGTTTTTTAGCACTAATTGAGGCAAAATTTTTGCAATAAAATGTATCGCTAGTCAGATTTATCGTTAATCGATGCCATCGCTGGTCGAGGGTCCACTGTATAAAATATGTCATTATGTGACAAGTGGAAGTGGCCATAACCGCTCCAGCATTGTTGTGGTAAACACTGACATCTAGTGACAGCCTTTTGAAGCCAGTTATTATAATTATTATTATATAGTACATTATTATTATACATGTATTATTATTATATTATTATACAGTGGACCCTTGGATAACGGCATTAATCCTTTCCAGAGAGCTTGTCTTAACGATTTTGACATTATCCGAATTAATTTTCCCCATAAGAAATAATGGCAATCCAATTAATCCATTTCACAGCCAAAAATATTAACAAAAAATATTTTTTTTAAAGATTAAATATAGATATACATACAGAAAACAATGACTAATAAATATGAAGCACTAATAAAATGGATAAATGAACATTTAACATCACACTTACCTTTATTGACTCTTGTTGGTGTATGGAAGACAAGTATGAGGCAAGATTAAGGCGAGTTTATTATGCTTCAGTATGACGCTAAGATCATCTCTTCGGCTAATTTATCTATCACAATTCATCTAATTCGTAATAAACAATATTAATAACAGAGAAACATGATATATACTCTAAAATGAATAAAATATGTCATAATGTATGTGAGGAGTAAGTGGTGGAAGTGTTGTTGTTGTTGGGTTTATAAGGGCCACTGAGAGAAGCCATACATAGTGGTGATGGTGGTGGTGGTGGAGGCAGCAGCAGAACCCACCACCACTGTTCACACTTTATGTATGTAATTTATAAATAAGAAATATTTACATTTTAATTTATAAATAAGTAAGTTTATTCAGGTATACACAAATACAGTTACGTACATAGATTATCATACATAGCAGCATGTGTGTAAAGTACCTAGGATAACCCAAAAAAGTCAGAGTGACTTATGTATTTCCATTGGGGTCCTTTTATATTTTCACTTATATTTACTTTTATACTTACACTTTTATATTTACACTTACCTTGGAGGAGATGTTAGTTTAATTAGTTTGATGGAGGAGATGCTGGTAGAGGTTTAGGGTAGTAGAAGATAGCAGGCCGGCATATGTTCAGCAGCCCTATACACATCCAACAACATTGAAGAGTTACTTTCATGTCGTTTTTCTACCATTTACTCGCTTAACTTACTTGCCACACTGTTAATTCTACACTTTATCGCTGGCTGGAGCTATAGCCTTTATTGATACCTGCTGCTTTAGTATCGTACATATCATAGAATCACTGAATCACTGCAGAAGGCACATTCTTCCCTCTCTTTCTCCTCCACTTTGGTACTTTGCTACGAGTTTTTTCTTGAATTCTATTATGGTTCTTTCCTTCTTTACCACAGGGCTGGCACTAGAAGCTTTCTTTGGGCCCATGGTGGCTTATTTAGTAGTTACAAGCACTGAAAACAATTGAATAATACAAAATATATCGCATGTATGTGTGGAATTGTTCTCACTGGCTTGTAAACAATGGCACACTACTTGTACATAGAGTGGACGGATGGCCGCGGGCGGCTCAGGCCGCATGGACATGTTCAGGATGAATGCCCTTAACCAAGTTCTTGGGCATTAGCCAAGCCAATATTTTGATGTAAAAACGTGCCGCCATCCGATTTTGTCGTTACCAATGCATTACCAAGGGTCCACGTACATTACTATACTACTTATTATTAATCATTACCAATCATCATCATCATACTCATCATCATCATCTCATCTCATCATCCATCATCACATCATCATCATCATACATCACATCATCATCATCATCATCATCATCATCATCATCATCATCATCATCATCATCATCATCATCATCATCATCATCATCATCATCATCATCATCATCATCATCATCTTCATCATCATCTCATCATCATTCATCATCTCATATCCTCATCATCATCATCATCTCATCATCATCATCATCTCATCTATCATCATCATCATCATCATCATCTCATCATCATCATCATCTCTTCATCTCATTTCATCTTCTTCTTCTTCTTCTTCTTTTTCTTCTTTTTCTTCTTTTTCTTCTTCAAATAATTTGGAATTTTTATTCACATAAAAAATAGACGATTTACTGTTATGTAGACTACTGCATAACTGTAATAATTGTATAAATAATGTCAATCCATTCATGACTGCATATTGTTTACTCTTGAACATTGGCAAAAATAGAACATTTCTGCTACTCTGAACTCATTTTCAAGGTACTTCTCATCATGAAACCATTCAAAATCATATCTATTTCTGTAATATATCTTCCATTCTATCAAGTGAAACCAAAAAAACGAGAATACAACCATAAATACCATACGAAAATACAGCTAAGGGATGGCTAATTGCCGAGAAGTGAACTCCATTAATTATGGTCCGATTTGTTTCATTTTTGGTGTACGTTAAGAAGCATCTTTCCATCATACATCGCCCAAGTTTCAGTAAGATAGCCCAACAAACAAATGAGATCCAATTCCCTAGATCAAGAGCAAGAGCCCCTCACCAGCGTCAAGGAACCTCCTTTGAGGCCCGCTCTCTTGTGAAAATTTCGCTTGCGTATGGAAGCAAAAAATCGATCAATCGACTGCTCATATTTGGAAAATTTGCATGTGGATGCGCTCGCAAGTAGAGGTTCCACCATATTACCAAATTTAAAATGAGAAACTTTCGTTTTTCTTTTTAGGTCACCCTTCCTCAGTGGGATATGGCCGGTTTGATAAAAAAAAAATCAACAAACTGGTTCTCTGCCACTGAAGTATGGTGACCCTAAAAAGAAGAAACATTTTCACCATCATTCACTTTATCACTGTCTTGCCAGAGGGGCACCGATGCTACAGTTCAAAATTTCAAATATCCCTACCACTCCAGAGTGCAGTCATTTAACTTTTCACCTCCAGGACTCGAGTCCAGCTAACTGGTTTCCCCTGAATTCCTTCATGCATGTTACCTTGCTCACACTCCAGTAACACAGTTGTAAAAACTATTCCAAAGACACTCTCTCACGCTTGCCAGATGTCTAAGCCCCTCACATACAAGCTCTCCTTTACTCCCTTTCTCCAATATTTCTTAGGATGACTAATATCCTGGCTTCCATCCTCTACAGATTTATATGCCCTCTAAGTCATCCTGTTGTGTTCCATCCTCTCTAAATGTCCAAACTACCTCAACAACCCTTCTTCAGCTCCTAATCCCCAAGCTGCAAATTCTCTGCATAATGTTCACACCACACATTGCCCTCAGACACATCTCAACTGCCTGCAGCCTCCTCATTGCTACAAGATTCACAACCCATGCTTCACTCCCATATAAGAGTGTTGGTACAACTATACTCGTATACATTCCCCTTTTTGCTTCCATGGATAACGTTCTTTGTCTTCACAGATGCTTCAGTGCACCACTCTCCTTTTTTCCCCTCGTCAGTTCTGTGGTTCACCTCGTCTTTCATGAACCCAACGCATCTGCTGACAAGTCCACTCCCAAATATCTGAACACATTCATTTCCTCCATACTCCCTCCCTCCAATCTAATATATGTACCTGTCATCTTTAGTGTTTGAGACAGAAAAGACACCAGCAATCTTTCCATTGTTTAAAATAATTTCAGGCTTCTGTGTAACTCTCATTGTTTGCTCATTAAATTGTGTTTTATTCATCCTTTTTCAAACTTTTTTTTTTTTTTTTTTTTTTTTTTTTTTTTTTTTTAGCAACTGTCTATATTTTATAATGAATTTTTGCATGTAGCAAATACTGCACATAGTAGTTCTTTTCATGTTGCAGGTCCATACATCTTGTTCAACACTGTTATTGCTTATCAAGTTCTTTTTATGTTGCAGATCCATGCATCTTGTTCAACACCATCATTGATTATCAACATAACCAAGCCTGGAAATTATTCCATCCAAGCTAATGTTATGTTGGATATTTCAAGGGACATTATTACTACCACTACAACCACCACTACTACCACCACCACCACCACCACCACTACTACTACCACCACCACCACTACTACAACCACTACGCCCAAACCAAGTAATCAGACATCGACTACATCAAGTACAACACCCCTAACAACTACTACAACCCCAACAACTACTACAACCCCAACAACTACTACACCTAATCATACTACAACAACTATACCACCACCTAACCCTCGACCTTGGCGGTGTGATGGATATTGGCCTCAGGCAGGACATTCCAACGGTTTGCCAGAAACCAGAAACCTTAAGCCGGGCTCCTTCCATAAAAAGATCGTTGCTAAAGGCAAGTAAAAAATTTTAATATTTTAAATAAATAAATTGTAATTTAAAAAGTTATCTGTCTTCATATGTTTCATATACCAATATGTGTATTTGTAAATCAATTCTCTTAGTGTATACAGTGGAACCTCAGTTTTCATGATTAATCCGTTCGAAAAAATCAGACAAAAACCGAATCATACGAAAACTGAAGCAATATTTCCCATAAGAAATAATGTAAATCCAGTTAATCTGTTCCAGACACTCAAAATTATTAACAAACAATACATTTTATAGAGAATAGCTGTAGTTTTACATACAGAAAGCAATCAGGCGTAGGGTCGTCAGGGTCAGCCTCAAATCCTTCCATACAGAAAACGACAGGTGTAAGGTCATCAGGGTCAGCCTCAAACCCTTCAAAATCCTTCTCAAGGACACATTCTGGCCACAGTTTTTTCCAAGCAGAGTTCATCATCCTGGAAGTCACTCCCTCCCAAGGCTTATCTATAAGGCTTATGCAATTGAGGATATTGAAGAGATTCCTCCAGAATTCTCTTAGGGTCAGTTCAGTGTCTGAGGTCACTTCAGAGCACCTTTGAAATGGTGCTTTGATGTAGAGTTTTTTGAAGTTTGAAATGACCTGCTAGTCCATGGGCTGGATGAGAGGAGTGGTATTAGGGGGCAAGGACTTCACTGTGATGAAACCAAACTCCTCCAACAACTGGTCTTCCAAGTCTGGAGGATGAGCAGGAGCATTGTCCATTATCAGGAGGCACTTGAGTGGCAATTGATTTTCCAGGAGGTATTTCTTCACACTTGGGCCAAACACATTTACCCTTTTCGCAACTTTGGCTTCCGTGATTTCTTTTGTCTTTGCCAGGATGGAACTGATCGTTGATGCAGATTTCCCGTACATCCTGGCAAGATCAACCACACGTATGCCACTTTTGTACTTTGCTACGAGTTCTTTCTTGAATTCTATCGTGTTTCTCGCCTTCTTTATCAAAGGACTGGCACTCAGAACTTTCTTTGGCCCCTTGGCAGCTTATTTAGCAGTTGCACTCAATAAACAAACACGAAAAACAATGGATTATTACGAAATGTTTCGGAAGAACACGCAGGGTGATGCTCACTCGATGAGAAACAAAAGCAGACTGAGTCACGAACACGTGGAATGCTTTGTGTGGGTGTTTGATTCTTGGAAATGAGTGGCTGAGTCATGCAGACAGGCGGACGAGTTTGTATGGACCATCTTCAGATGTACTAAAACCGAGCGGATGTATGAAAATGAGAAAATTTTGACGAGAAAAATTGTCGAAAACTGAATCGCACAAAAACTAGGGCATTCGAAAACCGAGGTTCCACTTTTTGTGAATTATTCCACTCGTAGTTTTGTGACTTTCATTTCTAATACAGTAGAGAATCCTTTATCTGAAAACCTTGAAAATACAGTGGACCCCTGCATAACGATATTAATCCGTTCCTGAGAGCTCATTGTTATGCGAAATTATCGTTATGCGAATGAATTTTCCCCATAAGAAATAATGGAAATCAAATTAATCCGTGCAAGACACCCCAAAGTATGAAAAAAAAAAAAATTTACCACATGAAATATTAATTTTAATACACACAAACTGAAAAAGACATGCACAGTTACATGACACTTACCTTTATTGAAGATCTGGTGATGATTGATGGGATGGGAGGAGAGAGTCTTAGTGTTTAGAAGGGGAATCCCCTTCCATTAAGACTTGAGGTGTCAAGTCCTTTTCCGGGGTTACTTCCCTTCTTCTTTTAATGCCACTAGGACCAGCTTCAGAGTCGCTGGACTTCTGTCGCACAACATATCTGTCCATAGAGGCCTGTACCTCCCGTTCCTTTATGACTTTCCTAAAGTGGTTCACAACATTGTCAGTGTAATAGTCACCAGCACGGCTTGCAATAGCTGTGTTAGGGTGATTTTCATCCATGAAGGTTTGCACTTTAAGCTGCATTGTACACATTTCCTTAATCTTTGAAGTAGGCAACTTCTTCAATTTCTCTCTCCCCTCCTCCGAAGCAGTTTCCTCAGGTCTGGCCTCATGCTGATGAAGATGATCTAGCAGCTCATCAGTGGTTAGTTCTTCATTGTCCTCCTCCACCAACTCTTCCACATCATCCCCACTAACCTCCAACCCCAAGGACTTCCCCAATGCCACAGTGGATTCCTCAACTGGCATAGGATTCCCAGGGTTAGCCTCAAACCCATCAAAATCCCTTTTGTCTACACATTCTGGCCACAGTTTCTTCCAAGCAGAGTTCAAGGTCCTCTTAGTCACTCCCTCCCAAGCCTTACCTATAAGGTTTACACAATTGAGGATATTAAAGTGCTCTCTCCAAAACTCTCTTAGAGTCAGTTGAGTTTCTGAGGCCACTACAAAGCACCTTTCAAACAGAGCTTTTGTGTACAGTTTTTTGAAGTTTGCAATAACCTGCTGGTCCATGGGCTGCAGGAGAGGAGTGGTATTAGGAGGCAAAAACTTCACCTTAATGAAGCTCATGTCCCCACAAAGTCGCTCTGCCACGTCTGTAGATGACCAGGGCATTGTCTAACACCAGAGGCACTTAAGGTCTAATTTCTTTTTAATTAGGTAATTTTTCACATTGGGGGCAAATGCTTGGTGTAACCAGTCATAGAAAAAGTCCCTAGTGACCCATGCCTTACTGTTTGCCCTCCACAGCACACACAAATTACCCTTGAGGATATTCTTTTGCCTGAACGCTCTGGGAGTTTCAGAGTGATACACTAATATAGGCTTCACTTTGCAATCACCACTAGCATTGGAACACATGAGAAGAGTAAGCCTGTCTTTCATAGGCTTATGTCCTGGGAGTGCCTTTTCCTCTCCTGAGTAATGTAGGTCCTGCTTGGCATTTTCTTCCAAAACAGGCCTGTTTCATCGCAATTAAACACTTGTTCAGGTTCCAGTCCTTCACTGTCTATGTACTCCTTGAATTCCTGCACATATTTTTCAGCTGCTTTGTGGTCTGAACTGGCAGTCTCACCATGCCTTATCACACTATGTATGCCACTACGCTTCTTAAATCTCTCAAACCAACCTTTGCTGGCCTTAAATTCACTCACATCATCACTAGTTGCAGGCATTTTTTTAATTAAATCCTCATGCAATTTCCTAGTCTTTTCACTTATGATCACTTGAGAGATGCTATCTCCTGCTATCTGTTTTTCATTTGTCCACACCAGTAAGAGTCTCTCAACATTTTCTATCACTTGCGATCTCTGTTTCGAAAACACAGTTGAACCTTTGGCAAGAACAGCTTCCTTGATTGCCGTTTTCTTGGACACAATAGTAGCGATGGTTGATTGGAGTTTACTATACAACCTGGCCAGCTCGGAGACACGCACTCCACTTTCATACTTAGCAATGATCTCTTTCTTCATCTCTATAGTAATTCTCACCCTTATTCCTGTAGGGTTGGCACTAGAAGCTTTCTTGGGGCCCATGGTCACTTATTTTGCAGATAAAATCACCAAAAACACTGTAATAATACGAAATGTTCCGATTTTATGCTTGGATTTACTGCGGAGGCTGGCTGGTAAACAATGCCACCAGCGAAACATGTGAGGCTGGCTCAAGCCGCACATTTGACGCGTCTCGGACGAATAGCATTGAGCGGGTTTTTTAGCGGTATGCAAGGCAAAATCTTAGCGATAAAATGTATCGGTATGCGGATTTAACGTTATGTGATGGCGACGGTATGCGGGGGTCCACTGTACAAAGGTTTTTAGATTGTTGACATGACATGCCACAAATGGATTGTTTATTGATGGAGTGCATTTGTTAAGTGTTGGAGTGAGCATATGCTGCATAACAGAATGCTAATTATGAAACAAGCAAAAATCTACCATGATGAACTGAATATTGAAGGTAACTGATTATTCAGCAGGCTGGGTACATAAATTTAAGAAAAGGTAAGGCATTAAATATTTAAAGATTAATAGTGACAAAGCATCTGCTGATCACGAAAAAGCAGAGAAATTCATTGATGTATTTGCCAAGATTGTTACTGATGGAAAGCTAACAGCAGAACAAATCTGCAATGCTGGTGAGACATTGCTGTTCTGATGTTACCGCCCCAGAAATACATTAACTACAGCTGATGAGAGAGCTCCTGCAGGAGTTAAGGATGCCATGGAAAGATTAACTGTGCTGGGATGTGCTAATGCAGCAGGCACATATAATTATAAACTTGCTGTAATATGCAAAAGCCTGGCTAAATTTGGGGAAAAAAAAAGATAATGTAAATGGTAATAATGGTAATAAATTTTGCAAGAAAGGTATAAAATACCAACAATATGAAAGTTAAGATACGTGCAACATCTGGATATCTTTATTGTAGACGTTTCGCCATCCAATGGCTTTATCAATACAGATTCTAGGACATGATTAGAAGACAGTAGAACTATATACAGGTCTCCCTCAACATTCGCGAGGATTAGGGGATCAAGAGCCTCGCGAATGTTGAAAAACCATGAATGTTTGGTGCCCCAATATATTGTAGGGAAATATATTACAATACTGCTTCCTTAACTTGTTGAACCATGAATAATCATAAAATACATCAAAACATCGTAAATTGTTCTAAATATATACATGTTATGCTTTAATAACGTATGTTATTTAATAACATGTATGTGAATAACATGTATGTTATTAAATACCACTGCCTCCACCACTGCCTCCACCACTGCCTCCACCACTGCCTCCACCAATGCCTCCACCAATGCCTCCACTGCGAGTCCCTACTACCCTCCCTCCGACCCCCGCAACTGGCAGCCAGCCCTCCCACCACTCAGTGTGGCGAGTATTTTGTTTGTTCATTATTTGCTATTAAACTACAGAATAAATAATGTAAACCCATTCATGACTGCATATTGGAATGGCTATTAGGAAAGGTATTAGACGGTGACATCATGTGTTTACTCTTGAACACAGCAAAGAATCGAACATTTCTGCTATTGCT